ATTATGTATATGTGCAGCATTATTTCAATATGTCCTTGTAGAAGACATCGTGATTGTGCTGAGGAGCCGAGGTCGGTGGTGACCTTCCGCGATCGTTTTCCCTACAATCTCTCTGTATGAAATAGAGGCTAGAAATGAGCCAAACGGCAAAAACGTGCCAATTTAACATTTGAAATATTTTTTATGATCTTTTTTCCGTACGTTTGTGGGATTTCAAGCTGGTTTCGAGCAGCAACTCGACAGTGCACGCGTGCTTCGATGAGTACGGGCCTTATGCACCCTCTGTGGCGGCGGCGAGTTTTCAGCTGGTACTGCCAGCGTAGAGTTACCTTCTTTGTTTTTCAGAATATCGCAAGTATAATAAACACATTTTATGAAGCAGAAGTGCAGCTTCCCTACTAAGAATCAGGCAAGCCTCTGTTGCTTCTATCGGTGTCCATGGCCTCGGGTGCTCGTGCTTCTCGGGCGCGTACAGGCGACAAGCATTCCATAAATATACCTTTTTACCGTTTGTATTCCACTTTCTTTTCGTTCTTCGGGTGCTCGTATTGCGTGTGGCCCTTTTCCATCATTACGAGCTTGGCATTTTGCGTGTGAGTGCGTTTAGGGTCTGTAAGTTGCGTTAATTGATTTCATCAGCAGCCTCAAGATGTCGGTCCAGAGCGTTTTTGACTCCTTCACCCACGGGGCCGCCGCTATGGACGGCCGGACGTTCGTAAAGGTGTGCAAGGACTGCAAGGTGTTCTGCAAGCTGTACACAACAACCGACGCAGACCTCATATTCGCCAAGGTGAAGCAAAAGGGCGCCAAGACCATCACTGAGCCAGAGTTCGAGCAGGCTTTGCAGCTCATCGCCGAAAAGAAGAAAATCGGCTTTCAAGAGCTCGTTTCCCAGCTTACCAGCGCTGCGGGGCCCGTATACACCGGCACCAAGGCCATGGCAAACAAATTCCACGATGACAAAAGCCTCTACACAGGAGTGCATGCACACGGGGGCCCCAGCACAAAGGATGACAAAGTTAATGACCTCTCGAACCTCCTCGACCGCAGCCCCGCAGACGTTCGTGGCACCAAGATGTAAAACCCATGGCGCCGAACTGATACATGCATGTATATAAAAGTGGCCAGAGGTCCACATATATTTAGAAATATATATATATATACATGTGCAACAACTGCAGTTACATGTATACCATCGCAATTGCTCCTACTTCATAGCAGCAGTGGGAACAATAACTACCTTTCCTCCTGCTGTTGTTTAGACGCCAGCTCTTCGGCGTCACAATCATTGTTCAAAATGCAGTATACAGAAAAAACCTGAAAGCTGCAAACCATACTTTCTGTGGGGGCAACAAACTGCCCCGTCTCCATTTTCTTCATGTTAACTTGAACGCTCATTGAAACTGCTGCTGCCCATTAGCAGGGTAGTTGCTGCAGCTGTTGCTACAATTACTGCCTCGACAATGATCGTTCCTGTACAGTTCTTTCTACTGTCATAACTGCAGCTAACATTAGTACGCGCTCTACCATCGCTCGCTGCTGCAGTTAATATTTGTAGGGACGTCTGTATAGCCGCTGAGTTCACTCTTCAGTTCTAAGCGCAGTCTGACGATTGCTGCAAGCGTTCAGCAGTAAGCATCCAGGTGCTCTATCCACCAACAGCAGATTCGTGTTTATTCAGCTCATGCCATTCATCGTTACTGGTATTTATCATCAGCTCCAATGTTGGCGTTACTGCTACCGCCACGCGGGCCCGCGGCTTCACCGTCATTGTTTTTTCTTCGCGCTCAGTACGAGCATAATGAGTACTATAACGACTGCTTCTACGTAATACTAAACAGTATTCTGAATGTTCACAAAGCATTGCTACCACCGTTGAGGTTTCAACTCTCCCACGCCAAAAGAATAAATGAACACAGAAAAAGTCTGGCTTGAGAGGTTTCGTTTGCGGTGCAGTGCAGACGTTTGGTCGTCTTTTTGCCTACACCCCAAACCCTAAACCCTACCTGCTAGGACCAAACCCCCAGCCCTAAACCCTAAACCGTTTGCTGCTGTCGCTGTGCTGCTCGTAGTTTTTCTCTGCGGGCCTTTGCTTCCATTTGTTTCTGCCGCAGCTCCTTGAGCTCTTCTTCTGAGGGACCTGCACCAGATAAAACAAATGCCCTGACAATGCAAATATGAATGTGATTGCTGCATACATATATCATAAAGTTACTTACACATGCATCTGGAGATTCCTCTACATGAAGTTAATATTAACGCATATCAACACGCATATATTATTGCGCATATAAAGGCCTTCATCAGTGAAACAGGCACTAACGCGCACACTTATATGAGTAGAAAACACAGGTGCTGATGCATATGATTCAACGTCTGTACTGATACAACTATTATATATATTTAGCGGCATTGATGCCTCATGCGCAAATAAGACCAAATAAGCTGAACATACATATGACCACACTTATAAATATATGTATG